CACTGCTGCTGCTTTCCTTTGTTCCCTTTAAGTATGTTATTTGACTTTTTTTTTTTTAATAGACATCAAATAGTTATTTTCAATGGATCTGTTATAATAGAGCCAGTACAGTGACTATGTTCTATCCAAATCTGTCAGCAGGACTGGGCAGAGTTGTTAGGGTCTATATTTGAATATGGATGTTAAATATGTCAGACCTGCTCTTTCTAATGACAAAAAAGTGCAGAGCATGAAGCACATGTTGCCTTGGAAGAAGCTATCTTTCCTGATGTATAATATTTAAAAGTTGCTTATACCAGAAATGGCTATTGTGTATTCTACCAGTCAGCTGAAGCTAACATTCAAATGATAAGTTACTGCTGCTGCCACTATATATACGTCTGATAAGGAAACAAGGGCATGCTCTGGGTCTTTGTTTGACAGAATAATTTTTGACTTTTAATCATGGAACTGCTTTAAAGTGCTGAATTTTCTTCTACTTTCAGTACTAAAGCAAAATCAATTACTTGACTAGAATGTATTTTTTTTTCTCATTTGAATCTGAGAACACCTTGGAACTAGATATTTAAAGAGGAATGTGTCCATATTTGTGTTGTCATGACTAGAATATTTTGGAAGTTATCTGTGTTGATACCAGTACTTAAGATTCTGATTTTCTTCATCTTGCCTATCTGCTTTTCTATCTGAACATAGGCTGGTAATTGGGAAGACTTGTTGAAATTATTGATCTATGATATTTGGAGGAAAGTATGGAATGAGAAATTCCTAACTCTTCTGTATGATCATGAATTGTCTCATGTAAAATGCCCACAGGTGGGATATGAGCCTATATTCTAAGTTAAGTTTATAAGTTCCACTGATATTTATGTTAATAATTCAGATAGGGTGTGCACTCATTCAGGAGCTCTAATTCAGTTGAGGCTCATCAAAAACTCAGAGGGGGAAGGCTGTTTACTAAGAGCAAGTAATAGAAAAAGTGTAATAAATGTTTATTTAAACTTTGCAAACACCGATACACTTTTGGCAGAGGGCAAAGAATGTGTGCCCCCCCCCCCCCCAATTATCTTGGAGACTGGTATAGCCTTAAACAGCTGAGGCCCACTGTGCTGTCAGTCACAGTTTGGGTACATTATCAGAACTAGTATTAAAATGCTTTGAGGGAGAAAAAAAATTAAAATGTCGTCTTGTGCTTAAACATTATAGGCATTCAAATGTTTTCTGGACTTTAGATTTGAAGTGATAAATGGCTATGAGCGGAATGCTCAAGTTTCTGT